TTAGGGGGACACAGGGGGGGACAGAGGGGGATTGGGACCGAGGGGGACAGAAGGGACAGAGGGGGGGACACGTTGAGATCAAGGGGGACGCGGGTGGGACATGGGGACAGAGCGGATATGTGGGGCGGGGGGGAAACGAGGGGACATGCAGGACCCGGGGACACGGAGTGACACAGGGGTGACACGGGGGGACATGGAGGGACACGGGACAACCCGGGGGGACACGCGAGGCACGACACGGGGACATGGGAGATGTGAGGGGACACGGGGGTGACACGGAGGGGATATGGAAGGACACGGGCAATGTCAGGGGACACGGGGGGGCACCCACGGCACGAGGTGCGGTCCCCAGGGATGTCACCGCACCTGTGACACGTCGGGGGGGACAGGGGCTCCCACGCTCATTAGCACCCCCACCTGAGCGGGTAATTAGCTAATTAACAGCGCGGCTGCCGCTTAATTGGCAATGGGGTGGGCGGGGCTGCTGTGCCCTATAAGCGCCCGCTGTGGGGCGGCCCCGCTGTCTCTGGGGTTCCCCTCGGGCTGAGATTTGAGGCTTTGCTCTGTGTGAGTGTTTTGGGGCCGGGGGAGCTTTGGGGGTGCTGTGGGTTAAGGGGGGTGTCCCACAGTTGTTGGTGTCCCCCTAGGCTGTGCCACCCCCAGCCATGTCCCTGACGGACAGCACCGACAGCAGCTGCGAGAGAGCCGTGTCCATCCTTTGGGGTGAGTGCCCCCGGCCCCAAACCCCCTCCCCAAACCCCGGGGGTGCCCCCCGGGACCCCCTGGCACCGCTGTGTCCCCTCCTGTCCCCGCAGGGTGCGAGCTGAGCAGCGGCCGGAGCTCCTTCACCTTCCAGGTGCCCGAGGACTGGCGCTGCGAGCAGCAGCTGGTGCTGCGCACGGTGCGTCACCCCAAAGACCCCACCAAAAAAATCCCGAAAGACCCCCCCAAAAAAAACTCAAAAAATCCCCCCGAAAAAACCTCAAAAAATCCCAAAACCCCTCCCAAAAATCCAAACCCATCTCCATCCCCGGGATGAATTCCTGTGCATTCCCTGTGCTGGATGCGCAGGGTGATGCCCTCAGCCCCAAAAAGATCCCCCGACCTAAAAAAAAAAAAAAGACCTCCAAAAAATAACCCCCAAAAATAAACAAACAAAAAAAAATCCAAAAATAAACCCCAAAAAAATCCAAAACACCCCCAAAAAGTCCCCCCTAATAAATCCCCAAAAGCGGGGGTTGCTGGAGGAGCAGCTGGACTTTGTGCAGCCCCTGAGAGGATTTCCTGCCTTTCGCCCCCGTCCAGATCTGCCTGGGGGAGACGGCGCGGGATGAGTTCCACGTGGTGGAGGTGGTGACCGAGGACGGCGGCGGCCGCCCCCCGGTGCCCCTGGCCACGCTGAAGCCGTCGGTGCTGCCCACGGTGAGTGTCTGGTGCCCGGTGCTGCCCGCGGTGAGTGCCCGGTGCGTGCCCGGCCCGGGGGCTGCTCCCGCTCCGGGAACGGTCGGGAATTGTTTCCATTCCCGTTTTCCAGGCCACGCTGGCGGGAGTAGAACTGACCCCACCCGTGACTTTCCGGCTGCGAAGCGGCTCCGGTCCTGTCTATGTCAGCGGCCAGCACGTGTCCCGTGAGTGTCCGTGAGTGTCCCTGTCCCTCCTCGGGTGTCCCGTGAGTGTCTCCAACTCCCCTCGGGTGTCCCGTGAGTGTCCATGAGTGTCCCCAACCCTCCTGTGAGTCTCCCCCGAGTGTCCCCTGAGTGTCCCTGTTCCCCCTCGGGTGTCCCCGAGGTCTGGGGGCTCAGCCGGGCTCTCCCGCAGTGACAAACTTCAGCTCGGAGGATGAGGATGAGGAAGAGGAAATAGTAGAGGAGACCCCCGAGAAGCCCCCCAAGGCCTGGAGTGGCCGGAAAGGCGGCGCCACCAAGGTCAGCACCGGAGGGGTTTTGGGGTCCCTGTGGCACGGGGAAGGGGGGCAGGCACCCCAAATTCCTCTCCAAGGGGATGAGCCATGGCCTTCATCCCTCAGGGAGGAAGAGTCCTCATCCTCCATCTCCGTCTCTCTCCCGTAGAAAAGGAAGCTGGAAAAGGAGGATGAGCCGTGAGTATGGAAATCCTGGAGCGGGAGGATCCCCCAGTGCCGGGACCCCAATCCCAATGCTCCCCTTCTCCCCCCAGCAGGAACAGCCTGGCCCGTGAGGATCCCCTTCCCCCCAAGGTAGGAGCTGCTCCCCGTTATCCCTTGGGATTATCCCAGGGAGCTCCTGGCCGGGGACAAGGACCCAAAAATGGGGGAGAAGCTCGGTTTTGGGGCCCCCTCCCCACCTTTAGCCCCTCCCCGTTCCCGCAGGGGCGCGGGGCCGGCCGGGGCAGGAAAGCAGCACCGAAGAAATAACGGGAATTCCATCGGAGCCGGGCCAGGTGAGGATTGGGATGAGCAATCCCGGAGCTGGGAGAGCCCTGGGGGGTGGCTCCGTCCCCACCGCGGGGTCTCCAGGGTTTCCCTGCGGGTAAATCCCATTTTTCCCTCCTTCCCTTCCAGGTGCGGCCGAGGCTGGAGCAGCAGCAGCAGCCGGTGGTGGTGGTGGTGTGGTTCCCTAATAAAGCACATTTTGCACTCCTGGCTCCCCGCGCTGCTGCCGGGGGGGATTTGGGGGCACCCCCCACCCCGGCTGGAGCTGCTGCCCTGGATTTGGGGGTCAGCGCTGCCCCCCGGCCGTGGGGTGCTGTGAGAAGGGCACGGAGGGGGATCGGGGGAGCAGCAGGGACAGGATCATCGGATCCCACTGACCCGGCACCGGGATTTGGGGGGGCCCCGGAGCCCCCCGGGTGTCACAGAGCGGACCCGAACTTCTCTCTCCAGGGCTGTCCCGGCTGTGGGGCAGCCATGGGGCGGTGGGGGAGTTGATCCCTCTTGGCACCCCGGGATCGGGCAGTTTGGGGGGGTTAACCCTGCTCTGCACCCCGGGCTGGGGCTGGGAGCCGCCGCGGTGGGTCCGGGGGGCCCCGGGGCCGTTCCTGCCCCACGGCAGCGCTGCCGCTCCCGCCCGTGCTCACCCCCGGGGCTGCCCGTGTCCCCCGGGATGTGCCCACAGCTCCCGGGGGCGCAGCCCGGGGGTGCTGGGGGGCTCGGCTCCATCCATCATCCCCCGAGGTCTGGGGATCCGGGCCGGGAGGGGTTCCCAGAACGGGGGCGGCCCCATTTTGTGGTTTTGGGGGGCAGCAAAGTGAGGTTGGGCTGGGGGCGGGGGGCTAACTTGGGTTGTTTTTATGGAATCAGACCCCTCACCCTCCTGCGGATGTGGGGTGGGCTCCCTGCTGCTCCCCCTCCTGCCTGACCACCCCCCCCCTTGCACCGAGAGGGAAACTGAGGTACGAGCTCGGAGGCAGGTGAGCTGTGAACGGACCCCCCTCCCTGTCCCTCGGGGACCCCCCCAGGGCTGTTTGGCCCCCGCGGGGGTCCCCCCGCTCCCTGCCGGGGGCTTTATCAGGCATTTCGCACCTCCCTGGAGCAGCAAACGGCGCCTGGGGGGGGATCCCCGGCCTCCCCCCATGGCCCTGCCAGGGGCGGGGGTCCCCGGAGCCCCCCCAGCGCTGCAGCAGCGGCCGAACCCCTCCTGTCTCAGCCCAGGGCTGTGCTGGCACCTGGTGACGGGCAGGTGACAAAAACCCCTCTGTCCCCAGGCCTGGCACCCTCACGGCGTGCCCCAGGGTTGGGGCGGGGTGGGGGGGGAACACCCAAAGCCGAGCCCACCTCCCCCGTCCCCTCCTCCTGCCCCATCCCCGCCCGGCCCGGCCCCTCCCTGCGGGGCTCTCCCACCTTTAAGAGCCGCCCCCGCATCCCGTGTCCCCCTCCGGGCACGGCCGGGGCTCCGTGGGGCGGGGGGCTGCGGGCACCGCCCTGCCCGGGGGCACCGGGCCCAGCACTGGGGGCTGATGGGGAGGGGGCGCAGGGGACAGGACGGCGCTGGATGTCCCCCGGGTGTAGAACACGCAGCCCCCAGGGCCGCAGGACGAAGAAGAGGAGGAGGAGGAGAAGCCCCCCGGCCCCGCTGCCTCCCCCATGAGCCGTCGCTGCTGCGGAGCTTTGGGCATCGCGCGTGGGCTCGGAGCACCCCGGGATTCACCCGCTCGTCCCGGGAAGGAGGCGACGGGAGAGTTCCCAGCGCTGCCCGGGGGGCTTCGGGCAGCGCCATGCAGCCCCTCACCCTGCAGAACCTCTCCATGTAAGCCCCGAGCTCCCGCTGCCGTTCCCAGGGCTCTCCCCGGGTTATTCCCGGTTTTCTCCCCGGGTTGGGGGGGAAGAGGAACCGCCCGGCTCCCACCGAAACTTCCCGGTTTTTCCCTTTTTCCCGCAGATGTTTCCAGCTGCTCATGTTCTCCTGTCAGACCCAGGTAGGCGCAGGGGCTCTGCTGACCCCGGGGTGGGCGAAGGCGGCCGTGGTGACCCCCAGAGCCGCCCCTTGGCTTTGGGGGGTGCCCCGGGAGTTGGGGGGGTACCCGGGGGTCCCATCCCGAGTGGCTCCGGGCAGGGATGGTGCCCGTGGGGCCGTGTCCCCTCTGGAGGGGGGGTCAGTGCTGGCCGCCCCCCAGCCCCTCCGGAGGGTGCGGGTGACGCTGGCACGGAGCCCGGCCCGGCCAGGGAGGAATTCCCGGAGCCCCCGGGCTCGCCCCGAGGGGGTTAACGGGGTCCGGCCGCTCCTGGCGGGGGGGTGCGAGGTTCGACACCCCCTCCCCTCTCCCCCACATCCTCTGGGGGCTGCTCACACCCTTTTTTTTTTTTTTTTTTTTTTTTTTTTTTTTTTTTTTTTTTTGTGAGCTTTAGAAAAGCGGCAGCTTTTAAAATCCACTGTTCCATATCAGCACCCTCTGCTCTAGCGCCCGAACAAAACCCCCGGGGCTGCGGCCCCCGCGCCATTAAAACATCCTCGGGACCTTTCTTCTCCTTTTTCCCCCTCTCTTTTTTTGTTTTTTCCCCCTTCCAAAGGTAAACGCTTTTATTTCTTTGAAAATGAGAGAGGAAGGGAAGCGCCTTTGATGGAGAGGGCCCCCCCCCAATCCCATCCCACCGACCCCAAAGGCTTTACAGCAGATCCCGGCAGCGCACGAAGGTGCTGGGGAAGGATTTGGGGGGTCGGGCACTGTCCCCCACCCTCCCAGGGCTGGAGAACCTCTGGGAAATCCCAAATTCCGCATCCTGGGAATGCGGGAGGCAGGTCCTGACCCCCCCGAGGTGACACCGCGCACCCCAAAGCGGCGGTGGGACCCCGAATGTGCCCCTCTCCCAGCAGGAGATGGCACCCCTGGATCTCAGCTCCTTCAGGGCTGCTTTTGGGATCCCGCAGGTGCTGCCCCAAACGCCTCTCGCACCGGGATTGAGTCGAGTTTTCCCTTGGGATGTTCTGGTTGGAGCTGGGAGCGGGGACCCCAAATCCCCCTCTTCACCTGCCCTAAACAGCTCCGCTTTTCCCCAAAAAACATCTCGCGTTTAGGAAAAGCCACCGAGCCGTTTCGGGATCCCAGGAGCGTTTATCCCATTCCCAGGGTGGGTTGGGAGTGGGTGGCTCCGCTCCCGGGATTTGGGGAACCCGGGATTTGGGATATCCAGCTCCCGGGGGATTTGGGGCACCCGCTCCCGGAATCTCGGGTATCAGCTCCCGGGGGATTTGGGGTATCCAGCTCCGGGGATTTGGGGCACCCGCTCCCGGGATTTTGGGGGTGATTTAGGGCTCCACACCCCCCGTGTGGGACCCACCGGGTGTTTTCCCAGCTCAGCTCCCGCTTCCCAGCGCGTCCCAAATTCCCGCTGAGCCACCCCGGGGCGCGCGAGGGGCAAATCCTTCCTCTCACTCCCGCTTTGCTTGGAAACCGGGAAAAGTTCGCTTTTCCCACCCCAAACTCCCAAAAAGGCTCCACCACCCCGCTCCCACCCTCTCCTTCTTTCGCCATCCCAAAAAACGAATTGATCCCATTTTTTCCCTTGGAAAACGAAGGGGGAGAACCAACCGTCTCCTAATTTTAACCAGTACGTGAGGGACCAGGGGGCCATGACGGACCAGCTGAGCCGCCGCCAGATCCGCGAGTACCAACTCTACAGCCGGACCAGCGGCAAGCACGTCCAGGTCCGCGGAAAAAGGATCACGGCCACCGCCGAGGACGGCAACAAATTCGGTGAGGAGCTGTCCCGACCCCGGCCGGAGCTCAGGGAATCACCCGGGAAGCGCCTCTTCCCAAACTGTTCTCTAAGTGAGATGCGGGAATTCCGGCTCCGCCTAAAAAATCCGCGTAAAAAACAAAAAAAAAATTATAAAAAAAATTGGTTTCTCTGGGAAAAGTCAGCTCTGACCTCAAAAGTTCCAAAATCGTGGATTTCTCCGGTTTTGTGCAGTGTTTATAATTCCCAGATTTAGGGGTTGGTGCTTTGTAATCCCTTCCTGCAGACAAAACAGCTTTTCCCAGAGAAAAATCCTCTGATCCCGGCATCCTCCTCCTAAATATCCATCACTAGTGGGCAGATCCCAGCTTTTATTTTTTACTTTTCCCTCGTTTTTTTTATTTTTCTCCCCTGCATTTATTTTTATTTTTATTTCACCCCTCGCATTTTTCCCCTTTTATTTTTATCCCCCACTTTTATTTTCTCCCCCCAGTGTTTTTGTTTTTAATTTTTGTTTTTAATTTTTGTTTTTAATTTTTGTTTTTAATTTTTGTTTTTAATTTTTGTTTTTAATTTTTGTTTTTAATTTTTGTTTTTAATTTTTGTTTTTAATTTTTGTTTTTATTTATTTTTATTTACTGTTTTCCCTGGATTCTCCCGCCCGCACTCCCAGATTTCCATGCAACTCTGGAGCCGGGAATGCTGTGGAGGAATAATGGGGAAAAGGAGCCTGGTGGGTGCTGGGTTTGGTCTGGTCCTGGAGAATCCACAGAATTCCTGGAGAATCCATGTAATTCCTGGCAAATCTACTGAATTCCTGGCGAATCTGCAGAATTCCCGGGGCTGTGCCTTCATCACCCGCCCAGTTTGGGTTTCTTTGGCATCACGGATAGGGAAATTCCCCGGAAAATGAAATTTTTTGTTCCCCTGAGGAGTCTCAGAAGGATCCAGATTCCTCCAAGAGACAAAAATAATCCCGGGAAAAACTTCCTTGGAGGAACCTGGGGCAGCCCAGAGCCGCGGAAAGGAACGACTCCTGCTTTTCCCAAAGAAATCACATTTATTTTTCCCCTGGTTTTTTTTTTTGGGAGAGGGAAGCAGCGGGGATGGGGATGGCAACAGGGGGGATTTTGGGTCTGGGGGTGTCGCAGCCCCCCGGGACACGTCCCCTCCCCGCAGCCAAGCTGATCGTGGAGACGGACACCTTCGGGAGCCGCGTGCGCATCAAGGGCGCCGAGAGCGAGAAGTACATCTGCATGAGCAAGAGGGGGAAACTCATCGGGAAGGTGAGTCCTGGACACCCCAAATCCCCGGGGAGTGGCCGGGGGGTCCCGGCTGGGCTGATCCCCCCATCCTCGGGGTCTCTCGGGGGGCTCCCTCGTCCTCCCTGGAGGCTGCTGGGGAGGATCCAGGGAGCTGCTCCCGGTGTCCGGGGCTTGAATCCATAGGGAATGGGGTGGGGATAGGTTTGGTGTGGTGAAGGTGGGTTTTGGGGTGATCAGGGCGGGTTTTGGGGTGATCAAGGTGGGTTTTTGGGGTAGTGAAGGTGGGTTTTGGGATAGTAAAATGGGGTTTTGAGGTGATCAGGGTGGGTTTTTGGGGTAGTGGAGTTGGTTTTTTGGGTGATCAGGATGGTTTTGGGGGGATCAAGGCAGGTTTTGGGGTGATCAGGGTGGTTTTGGGAGGTGGCAGGGGCAGGCTGGGGGTGACACGAGCTGGGCTGTTCCAAAGATGGTGACAAAGGTGACCCAGGGAGTGGCAGGGATGGGATGGAGGCGACACAAGACAGGGGCTGGGGTGACGCAAATGGGTTTTAGAGGTGACAAAATGGGCCTGGGGGGTGGCAGGGGTGGGCTGGGAGTGACAGGGATGAACTGGGGACATCAGGGACAGTGACAAAACCAGGCTAGGGATGGCAGAGATGGGTTTGGGGTGATAAAGGTGGGATTGGGAGGTGACAGGGATGAGCTGAGGGGTGTCGGGGTGGTGACAAAGATGGTCTGCGGGGTGCCAGGGTTCAGCTGGGGCTGGCAGAGATGCTCTTGGGGGGTGTCAGGGATGGGCTGGAGGCCACCAGAGATGGGCTGGCTCATTCCAACCCTTCTCAAGTCCCACCCCAACCCCCTCTCTCCTCCTCCTCCTCCTCCCGCAGCCCAACGGGAAGAGCAAGGACTGCATCTTCACCGAGATCGTGCTGGAGAACAACTACACGGCCTTCCAGAACGCGCGCTACGAGGGCTGGTACATGGCCTTCACCCGCCGGGGCCGGCCCCGCCGCGCCTCCCGCAGCCGCCAGAACCAGCGCGAGGCTCATTTCATCAAGCGCCTCTACCGGGGCCAGCTGCCCTTCCCCAACGCCGAGCGGCAGAAGCAGTTCGAGTTCGTGGGCTCCTCGTCCCCCACTCGCCGCTCCCGACGCACCCGGGGCCCTCGCACGTAACCCCCGGCCTGGCTGGAGCCGTTCGGTTCCCTCAGTGCCCGTTCAGGTTCCCCTGGTGCCCGTTTGGTTCCTCCAGAGCCGTTCGGTTCCCCTGGAGCCCGTCCAGTTCCCTCGGAGCCGTTTGGTTCTCTCCAGAGCCATTCGGTTCCTCCTGCAGCCCATTCGGGTCCCCTTGGCCTGGCCAGAGCTGTTTGTTTCCCCCCTGGCCCAGCTGGAGCCCGCTCGGTTCCCCCCAGAAGCCCGTTCCATTCCCCCCAGCCCAGCCGGAGCTCTCCCAGTTCCCAGAGCTGGGATTTTCCTCATTTTATTAAAAATGGTTTGGGTTGGAAGCGCCCCCAGGGTGGGGAGGGCACGGATTGGGGGTGGGATGTGATGGGGGTTGGGAATCCCAGGGTAGCCAGGGAATTTGTGACTCCCCTGATCCCGGGGTATCCAGGGAATTTGTGATGTGCTCAGGGGTGCTCAGCGAGTCCTGAATCCTGGAGTATCCCAAAGTGTCCAATGCCCTCAGGGGTCGTCAGTGGGATCCCAAATCCCTGGAGCATCCCGTGGAATCCACGTTCCTCACCCAGTGTCTTTGTCCCCTTGTCAGCCCCCCTGTGTCCCTGTGCCACCACCCCCGGACACGTCCCCACTCCCCCCGGGCCCAGGGATGGGTTCTGGGGATGGTCAAGGCCAGCCCCTCTGGGGAAGAGTGTCCCCTCTGGGCTGGGGTGTCTCCTATTGGGGGTGTCCCCTCCAGGCTGGGATGTCCCCTCTGGGGCGGGGTGTCCCCTCTGGGGGGTGTCCCCTATTGAGGATGTCCCCTCTGGAGCAGGATGTCCCCTCCAGGCTGGGATTCTGTGCCCGCAGCCCCCTGGGCCAGCACTTGTGTCCCCCCGAGGGGTCCCCCCATTATTTATTGAGGAGAAGGGTCCGTGTCCCCTCCTGGCGGCGCTGCCTGGGCCAGGGGCGCTGTGGGTGCCACCAGGCCAGAGAGAAGCCACCTTTCGCTGATTTTTATTTTGCTGCCGATTGTATTTTGTATTTTGACCAATTCTGTTGTTTATGAGTCGGTTTTAGGCCTAAACCTTTAGACTTGAGAGTTTCTTGGTGTAAAGGAGGAAACCCCAAGGAAATAAAAGTGAGTGTCCAGACTTAGGGGCCTTTTCCAGACTTTTGCTTCCCGTGCCTGTCGGGATGGGGGATCCCCCCTGTGCCACCACCCCGAGCTTGGGGACAGAAGCAGGAGGGTGAAGGTGGAGGCTGACGGGGACTCCCCTGGATTTGGGATCCTGAAGGTGGCTGCAGCACCCTGGGGACAAGGACACCACGCCCAGGGTGGCACCTGCTGCTCCCCTGGAGGGGTTCACACCCCACACCCCATTTTACCCCACAGAACATCACCCCTGATGTGCCAGCGGGGGGTGCCCAGTGTTGTCCCCACCCTGAGCCGGTGCCTGTTACAGTCCCCAGGGTGTCACCCTCACAGTGGTGTCCCCATTGTCCCCACCCAGGGCCGGTGCCCATCACAGCCCCCATGGTGTCACCCTCAGAGTGGTGCCACTGTGGTGTCCCCGTTGTCCCCACCCAGGGCATCACCCGGTACCCGCTGTGGTACCCAAAGCTCCCCCAGAGCATCGCCCTGGGCCCTGCTGTCCCCCTCACCTGCCCTCACCCTCGGGGTGGCACCCCCTGTTCTCCACACTCAGGGCATCACTCTGGTACCCTCTGATCCCCACCCAGGCCTCCCCCCTCATCCTGTTCCCCCAAATCCCACCCCCCTCACCCTGTTCCCCCTATTCCCCCAAATCCCATCCCCTCATCCCATTCACCCCCAAATCCCACCCCCCTCACCTGTTCCCTCTGTTCCCCCAAATTCCATCCCCTCATCCTGTTCCCCAAATCCCACCCCCCTCACCCCTTCCCACTCTCCCCCCCCCCCCCACCCCCCCCCA